GTAAACCCGTACGGAGACGGAAAGATTCTGGCGTTTCCGCTTTTAAATCCACAATTAAATAACCGTACGGTTCTGACGTAGCGTCTTGAAAACTCTCCATGAAATATCTTTTTTGGGTAGGATATATTTGATTTGCTAAAACATTGATTTGCAATTTGTCTCGAGGGTTTTTAAACAAAATCAAATAATTGGTGTTTAAGCTGATGGAACGACTATGTTTTCCTTGATGAAAAACATTTTGAGTGATTAAAATGACGCTCATATTTCTGTGATGTCTCAGCTGCGTAAATAATTTTAGCACTCCAGGATGGCTGGAGGTTTGAGACATCATGTCATCCAAGATCACCAAGTGGTTTTGACCCGATGGAAATAAATCATCATCCTCGAATGAAAGCGGGAGACCTTGAATGAATCGAATACTTTTATTACAAAGATCATCATACATAGGTTGATAAGATGTAAAAAACCACACGATGTTTTCAGGCATTTCAGTTAAACATTGCATACAATTTTCCAAAATACTTTTTACAAAAAAGGTTTTTCCACAGCCTGACGGACCAGCAATTTGTACACTGAATGGCAATTTTAGTCTAGCGTCAAAATCAGTTTCCATTTTTAATACCCGAATGGTTCTGTACTGCCGTCAGCAAACAACCTCCTTTTATCAAAAATCACACGAAACCTTTTCACAAATGAAACATTCGCGAGAGTGAGATCTTTTTTATCTCTCTTGATGACATCCTGTTGAGTTTGCAAAAATCTTCCCCTTTCTCCAGCCACATACCCCTCAACCAGCAGCGCTAAGCTGTCAAAATTGATGTGATCAGATGAAATGAATGACTGTGTGATACCCTTAGCCTTTATCACCACCTGCTGGCGGTCCCGGGTTTTGTAAGCATACGTTTTTGGACCGGCTGATGAAAATTCCGTGATGGAATCGCCGTGCAGTTCATCGGTTAAATCCCCCAGCAGCGGTCCTGTTGGTAAAACACACTCGTTCTCTTTGACAGAATAAATTATAGAATCTGTATCGTAATAAATGACGCGATTTCCCAGTTTGTTCAACGCATTTAATAATTTCAATCTGGCATAAGTTGTGGTGAAAGCGGCGATAAAAATGTTGTTGCTTCTGCCAGGAGTCGTTAGGCATTTTTCTGCCAAACTGTGTTGCACCAGAACGGCTCCTGAAGTGAGAAAACTGAAGAATTTAACATTGTATCTCCCTGAAAACAGAATGTCAAAAAATTCATCAGGTTTTTGAACAAATGTGGTTTGTACAAGATCATCTCTTTGACCAAACTTTCCCCAGAGTGAATTGAGACATAATTTTGAAATGGCACGCTTAGCAGGATTGTGCTGAATCTTAGACGCATCTAATAGTATTCCCTGACGAAGTTGGTAGTCCTGAATGTATTTTCTTTTTGAGTCATCGTCAATCAGTCCTTCAGGAAAACCAGACGCTTGTTGTTTCTGCTTCAAAAACGTGTTAATGTAACCTGCGAACACATCTTTACTGCTTTTCTCAAAATCCCAGACTTCAATCATTTTCAACAGACTGTAACCTGAATCCAAAGCGTAATTGAACTCTACACTCACCCAAACGCCCGTCAAAGCACGTTGAGACGCGCTGTGTGAACAAGAATCAGATTGATTATTCATTTCAGCGCATGTGCGACACAGTGTAAAAACGAGTTTACCTTTGGATGTTTTAAAAGGCAGAACAGGGAAAAACAGTTTTCTGGGTGGCAAAACGACAGCTTTAATCAAGCCAAAATAGTGACTTGGATCTCTGAAATTTTTAACATGAATTTTGGGATGGCCTATGGGGTAAGTCTGTGTGGCGTTTACATAAGGGTACAGACTCGTAAAATCCACATAGTGGATTTTTTCACCGCTCTGAGCAGAATGCCTCAGCCGAACCGGACAAGTTCTGCCTCCATACAGGGCTTCACGAGGTAAAAGAGGAGCCGGCGGTGGATCAAATCTTGAGACAAACTGTTTCACGTCCGGATCAGTTTTTACCATCTCCTGCCAATCATGTTCCCAAATGACATTCATTTTTAATCGATGCACAGTTTCCAACGACTGAAGCTTTTCGACGGTTTTGTCATAAATTTCACCAAAAGTGATTTTTCTCAGAGGACGTATGGATGACTGTAAGAAACATTTTGGACAGCCGTGGAAAAAACAACCCATATACTCAAACCCTTGTTCGACGCCTGAAATCACAGCATATCCGTCGAGATAAAAATCTCCCACTTTATACTCCCCCAAAGGCGTTAAAGCGTGTTGAATGTCTACATTTTGACTGTGTGAAACCCATTCCAACCACACGATGCTTGAACTTGAAAATGGTTTTTGTTGCGGTCGATAACCGAGCGGACAAGGAATGGCCAATGTGTCTGGTTTTAGGAATTTTGATCTAAACACGCGCATGCAAGCTGAAGCGATCGTGACAGATTTCAGCGGGTCGATACCTGTTTCATTAAAAAACTCCTCTCTGAAAATACCGCATGCTTTACGCAGAATTTCCACATCGTTTCTACAATAAAACACGGCCTCCTTTCTGAAATCAAACAGCTGCTGTTTAGACACATCGGTGTACCATTCTAAAAATATTTTTTTATGCTCCGGAGACATTTGTTCAAACCCATAATGGCTGACATCTGGGTAAGGTCCTTTATAATTCAGATGTTCAAGCGATGAAAATCTGTGAGGAAAATAACCTTTAGTTTTATCTGTAAAGCCCAAAGCAGCTGGAAGGTTGGCTAATTTCATCATGAGAAAACTTAAGGAATCAATGAATCTCAACCCGAAATCTGGATCGTGAAAACTCAGGATTTTACAGCCTTGCATGAGTATATTTTTGGGAACAATTTTTAATTGACACATAGCGCTCAGAATTATATAAGCATCAAATCCACGCGCATTGTGTGCAACAAATGTATAATTGCTGAATTTAGGACGACGCATCTGCATAATAAAATCTTTAATGCAATCTAAACCAAATTTCTCCCAAACGTCGCCTGAATCGGATTTTGCACAGATTAAAAAAGGTGTATGCACACCGTTCTGATCCGTAAACGTTTCAGTGTCGTAATAAATAACCTTTTCCGTTAAACCGTCATCTTATTTTCAAGCTGAATAAAACAGCGATGATCGTCCGTGACCACCGACTGTTTGCAAACGATGCATTTGGTCGCTGAGCAAACGTGCTGTGAACCATTTCCACCCATGGCGATGTAATAAGTTTGTTTACAAATGGTGCATTTTTTAAACATTTCGCAAGGAGAAACTAACCTGTTTGCTTGAGGCCTGAAAACAGGTGTTTTGTGAGTTTGAAAACATATTACATTTTGGCATATTCGATTACAATCAGAACATGTGATGAGAGACGTTTCTGTCCGTTTGCATAAATCGGTATTACACACGCGACAGAACCATTTACAATGATGTCCGTTTATGTTATTATAAGCGGAAAAGCACCATGAACAAAAATATTTGGCTCCTAAGAAACCTTTAATATTTTTTATGCCGTAATAATGTTGATTGAGTAGCAAAATGAACAACGGATTTGTTCGATCGCTAAAATCTGTTTCAAATTTAGAAATGATTCTGTCGGATCTGTAAAAAATGATTATTTTTCTTTGAACAATATTTTCAAATTGAATCACGTCGCTAAATGAAACGGTTGATTGCTCCTGAAGCCCTGCCTGTTGATGAATATTTTTAGCCACATTCAATAATTCTGTATCTCTCGCTGAGGGATTTAACAGGCCGGCTATGCTTAGCGCAAAACACAACGGCTGATTGGCCTCTGGAGGGCAAATGAGATGGTTTCGTTTTTTATTGACTAATTCGTGATCCAGAATGGTTTCGATTTTTCGTTTTCCGCCGCCGGACGGGTTATTTATCACTTGCAGTCTGAAATTAAATTCGTTGTCGGCCTCTAATGCTTCATTTGATTGGACTAACAGATCCAGTAAATACTGAAGCTGATTTAACATATTTGATCCGTCATAATTAAAATTAACGTGGTGCGTCGTGTGTAAAGTATTAATTTCAAACTGGACTCTATCGTTGGGACGCGCGATCTGGCTTCCTCTTTCAGCAAACCTGTTTAATATTTCCATCAGATTAATATAAAACTCGGCTGGGTCGTTGATTGCTTGAAAAGACACTCTCTCTCTAATTTCACGCTGGTTAAAAGCTGCGTTTACGCTCCCTCCGATCTGCCGGTGTTCTATTTGTCTCAAAATTTCGTTTATTGCTTCTGATGAAGGCTCATCTGAATTTGCTAGAATTTGATCGATCTCGTTTACGCGCTGCTGGTGTTCTATTTGTCTCAAAATTTCGTTTATTGCTTCTGATGAAGGCGAATCTGAATTTGCTAGAATTTGATCGACCTCGTTTACGTGCTGCTGGTGTTCTAATTGTCTCAATATTTCATCTACAGCTTCTGATGAAGGCGAATCTGAATTTGCTAGAATTTGATCGACCTCGTTTGAAACGGCTTGGGATGCTAAGATCTCACTATCTGAAGCTAATTCATCTACTTCACTCAGTCCGCTTAAATCAAACCAGTCATTTAACACCAAATTATCGGCCTCATCTGAGGGATTTTGGCTGGCTAAAATTCGATCTAACAATTCATCATCATCAACTACATTTAATTCATCATCTACTTCAAACAAATCTGAAAGGTCGTCAAACCAATTTTCACTCATGATACAAAGACATTAATAACCTACTAAAAATGAAGAAAAAAACTCTGCGTCGTCCTCCTTACAGAGCCAGCACTTGTTGGACCACTTCGACCAGGCCAGAATTGACCTGCAGAAGCAAGTAGGCCATTTTCATCCTGTTTAGCCGTTGAATCGGTGAAAGACGGATGTTTTTCTTCTTTTTCTTCAGCCGTTTTTCTGATGAAAAAAATAAATAAAAATAAATAAAATGAACGAGCTTTTAATAAATTATATATATATATAAATTTAACTTACTCTGTACAGGTGCAGGAGGTGGTGCGTTCTCTTCCTCTTCATCTGAAAGGATAAAAAACATCTTTTTTACTTCAAATTTAATATACTATGCGGAGCTTTTTTGTGAAACAGCTTACCGGCTGGCTGCTCAGGACCACGTTCAGCGGTTTCAGAGTCGCTGTCGGATTGTTCTGAAAGAATAAAAATAATGAAAAAATATGAACGAATCATCTTTGAAGTAAATAACCACCTTTTTATATATCTCTTACCCTGTGCAGGAGATGGGGGAGGAGGAGGAGGAGGAGGTGGAGGAGGTGTGGGCGGAGATATTGAAGCGGCTGTCTGATGTTGTTCTGAAAGGATAAAAAAACAACGGTAAATGTGTACGAGTCATCTTTGACTTATTAATCAGTTGTTTTTTTATCGTTACCATCCGACCGCGCATGAGAAGGGGTTGGAGGTGGTGGGGGCTGAGATATTGGGGGTGCGTAGGCCGTCGGACGTTGCTCTGAAGAATAAAAACGATAAATATGAACGACACATCTCTGACTTATTAATCGCTATTTTGTAATCACTTACCAGCTTCGAGGATCGTCTGCGGCGTGATGGTCCTGTAACGAACAGCTTTCACGCTCGCATTCCCGTGTGATCTGACGGTATGGCTGGGCTGATACGAATGTAAGACGGTTCGGCTGGTGGATGGAGGCGTGGTTGGGTAAAAGTTATCACTTCCGGGGTAAGGTTGAACCCCCTCCTTTTCTGTAAAATGAGATATTTCTCAGTTGAAGAAAAGAACGTTACGTATATATTTATAAAATCCACTCACTCAGATTCTCGACCGCGCGATTAATTTTAGACAAATCATCCAGGGGGACCGGTGTCTTACAAGTTAATTCCTCAATAGGAATTTCTTCCCACTCGCCGTCCGATATGACAATAGCGTCTGAAAATAAAGATGTTAAACCAGAAAGAGAAAAAAAAAGATTTGCGTCTTGAGTTAAAAACTTACCCGTCATCTTAGCTTGTTACACCTCAAATCACGACTCCGAAAATGCGCTTTTACATTTTATACAGCTGTTTAAAAAAATCTTGAATAGAAAACGGTTGCGATTGGTCGAAAAAAAAATGTTTATAAACAATACAGAGTCATTTGCTTTGTTGTATAGGTAGACAAATGTATGAATGGTTGTTTAGAGTTGTGTGTGTGTGTGTGTGTGTGTGTGTGTGTGTGTGTGTGTGTGTGTGTGTGTGTGTGTGTGTGTGTGTGTGTGTGTGTGTGTGCTTACAGCCATTAATTTGATGTGCTGCTGGACAGAGAGTTTTACACAATAGTTTTAGTTCTGGTCAAAAAGTGTCAGTGAGCTGCATGTAAATATTTACACATTTAAACACAAAGTTTAAGACTGAACATACGAAATCCAACGTGAACATCTGCCAGATGGGTGTGTGTGTGTGTGTGTGTGTGTGTGTGTGTGTGTGTGTGTGTGTGTGTGTGTGTGTGCTCGTATCCATTGCTTCATCAAAACTCCCCGGAGCAGAAATAAAAAAACCTTTACGATCCAAAAAATAATACCGTACCGTTTTTGTACCGGACATTTCTTCCTGAAATCTCATCATGTCTCAATTCGAACGTTGTTTTTAGCAGAGGAAGGCTATATTCAAAACACGTATCCATCGGTTCTTCTTATTCTTCTTCTTCGCTCATGTTTTGGTTAAAATGTAGCAGCTCTTTCACTCGTGTGTAAATCCGTTTACGACATGCATGTGCCTTAGTTTAACTATTCTGAGAGGTATGACATTAAAGGTTTGACCAGAGGTACGTCTGCTCTGAGACTTTACTAATCCACCCCTCCCAAAAAACAAACCTCATAAACAGCTTTTTATTTATTTCAGCTGTTATAGGTCCTACAAAATGGATCAAATCTTTTCTCTGAGGCAGGAAGCAATGTGTGTGTGTGTGTGTGTGTGTGTGTGTGTGTGTGTGTGTGTGTGTGTGTGTATGTGTGTGTGTGTGTGTGTGTGTGTGTGTGTGTGTGTGTGTGTTTTTGTGTGTGTGTGTGTGTGTGTGTGACAGTGGAACAATACACCTGTCCATTTGATTAATGATAGGAAGGGGGGGCAAGGTCAAGGGTCAAATGAACAATAGGAATGAAAGGTCAAAGAACAATAGACCTGTCAAAATGTTTGACGAAAGGTGTCTTATAATCCTCTCTCATATATATATATATATATATATACACACATATATATATATATATATATATACACACATATATATATATATATATATATATATATATATATATATATATATATATATATATATATATACACACACATATATAAGTTTCATTACCAATTCGTTTGATCTTTCTCAGAATTTAACCAAGCTGACAAGCAACAGCGTTAAACTCTAGTTATGTAGATTAACAATGCTACGCAAATCTGTTTACCGTAATACCTCTAATATTGGCCTGTATTCAATTAACGGCCGGGTATCATATTTTGGCCGGAGTCGGCGGAGGTGAATAATGGCCGGTATTTTATTGTGGCCGGGTGGAATGTGGTAACAAGCAAGTACCACAGGGGGGGCGGTTGTGTCATCCGTCTCACTTTTGATTTGCCAGTGACAGACCGCGATTTGGCAGGTGCGGAGACGAAGAGGAGGCGAAATTTTGATATCAAGTTCAAAGAGAATGCTGTGCTAGAGCGTCGCTACTGACACCCGCCGTAAAACGGACATTTAACCAAATTGTGACGTTTACCCTCTTGCAATTTAACCTTCCCCTCACCCTAACCTTAACCAGCTTGCGCATGTAAAGCTCTGATTGTTGACGCGCTCCAGACATCTGCGTCCTGAGCACGGCCAGAGTAACATTATCAAATCAGGTGTCGTCACCTCAAAAACTAATTTAACACGCGATTGTTCATGTCGGCTCATTTCCTTTTATGTTTTCTGTCTTTTATTTGCGCCTGATGCGTTTCGCTGCTGTGGAGCGGGGCGCATCACCTTGTCGTCCGGTGAAAAACCAATTACTGATGCGGCCGTCAAGCAGCAAGCACTCCGCTGTTTCTGCGGTTGGTAGATCTTTTAGAACTGCAGTTCAAAGGTAACTCATAAGGTGAATATATATGAACCCAGGTAGCAGTTTCTCTTTAGGATTGAGAGGAGATGCAGGAAGATAATAAACAGGCAGGACAGAAAAATAGTCAAATAAAAACAAGTTAGTTTTTGTACCTGGTGGTTGCAAAAAAACAGACACCATTGAAGGTAATCAGAAGTGAGGAACAGAAAATGAAATAATTATTTTAATGTTTAGAGCATCAGGAACACTGAGAGGCTGCAGGCGCATCAGTGAGTTTGCGGCCACTGTGCAGGGGGATGGGGGAGAGGGCTGAAGCAGAAACTACCGTTGTTAAAAGAAATGTGTTTAACTTTGAAAATGTGGGTGCAATTTTAATTGTCAAAAACTCCAGCGAACCATTAGTTCATTTTGCTCAAATAGAAATAGAGGGCTGCCTCTAATTCTGGTCCTCCTTCCAATAAAGGCCTGGAGCTTGATGAGCTTGAGTCAAATACAGGCCTGGGCCTGTATTAGAGGATTAACGGTAATTTGGTTAGCATGCTCCAGAACAAAAAAAGGCGAATAACTATTGCCAATAAGGTTGATTCGAAGACCTCTGCTGCAGGCTCCTGCTGTAGCTCACCTTTGCTTCTTTCTACAAAAATATTAAACCAAATCAACATGAGCATTAAAGCAACAGAAAATAAGCAACACAGATAATGATGCAATACAAGCAACTGGACAAAAACAACAAATCAGCATGTTGTTCTACATCCATTATGGAAACATTTCCCCTTTCTAAAGCTGCAAATTGGGCCTACTGTGGAGTTCTTCTGTATTTAAAATTGTTTTGCTACGAAATGTAATAGTTTTCACTGCTTTGTATTATTAATTTAATTTTTGTTCTGAGTTTCGTCCACATGCTACTGGGATAGCTAGTTAGCTAGCAACACAACAGCTAAAGAAAACGATGCATGAGTCAGCCTTTTCCTTTCTGAATAATTTCATTTGCACTTCTCAAAGATAGATTCTTACCAGTGGGCTTTCTCCTGAAAAAACTGAAGAGTTTCGACTGTTTTTTTTTTTGGATGTTTTCTGTGATCCATTGATTACTGCTAATCTTATCACAAGGTTTACTCCACTCCAACTGATCTCAGAACAAAGAGCTGGCAAAACACAAGACGCCAAACATTTACATTAAGGCGGCGACAAACACAACATTTCCATTTTTTCACAACAACACCCTTTTACCTTGCCGCCTCACTGTATCGCACGCAGAGCACGCCGCGCACGCTTGTGTCCATTCAGAGAGCAGGCAAGATAGGAGAGGGGAGGGAGTGAGTCACGGTCACCACGGTGGTAGCAAGCCCAACTTGATGAGCGAGCCTGTTGCTGATGACGAGTGAAAAAATTATGAATAAACATTTGGGGCTGAAGCTCCGTCAAAATTGGCTGGTGACGCGGCTGGTGAGGGGCAGGACACACACCTTCCTCAGTTCCACTTTTGTCCCATCAGTCAACTAAATTGAAGTCTTCAAAATTATTCATTTTTGTTAACAGGAGATGGGTCTTTATCGGTTTTATCCTTAGAGCGGTTCCACAGTGCCTTTTGGCCTGTTTCTTTCCTTTACACTATCTGCATCTAAGAAGAAGAAAATATAATTTCTATAGCGCCTCTTAAGATAAAAATCATGAGGCACTTCACAAAAACAAAAATGTAAAAATATAAAAAAGCATTTAGAAAATGTTTAAAAATATATTAAAATGAGCAAAAATAGGCAATTGGGATTTAAAAGAAAAAATGTTAAGAAAGAGAGAAAGTGAACAGGAAAGAGGGAAATCAGTGGATCCTGAGGAAGGTGGAATAGGTGGGGAGAGCAAAATAAAGAGAGAATGGTGAAGAAGGTCATCCAAAAGCCAGCTTGAACAAGTGAGTCTTCAGCTGCTGTTTGAAGGAGACCACTGAGTCCACTGATCTCAGGCTCAGGAGGAGAGAGTTTCCAGAGTCTGGGGGCCACAGCAGCAAATGATCTGTCACCTTTGGTCTTTAGCCTGGTGCTGCACAACCAGTTGGCTTTGATCACTGGACCTCAGGGACCTGCTGGGGGTGTAGGGACTAAGAAGATCCCCAATGTAAGATGGTGCTTGTCCATGTACACTGTGCGACTTTTTCACTTTTTTGAGCCAATTTTCCAGTCGTGCGAGAATCCACGACATCGGGGCGAGTTTTGCGCCGAGCGGTTGTGTAGTGTACAGGGGGTTACGAGAGGCGATTAACACCACGTGACCAGCTGCCGATCAGCAGTCGTGAGGTCGCACGGACTTCTGGCGTGTTTAATATTTTGCTCGTCCCTCGTGAGGGTATCGCACTGTTGAAGCGGCGCTGCGAGCAGCTGCGACCCAAAAAGTATCAGAACCGCTCACGGCGCATGCGCAATCCTGCATCAACGCCGCTCGCTATTTCCCTAATAACACACGCTGTTCGTTTTTGTTTCTACACGTTTTTTTACTCACAAAGATTGTCAAGAAAGCGTGTTTGTCGTGTTCATGTCAAATTAAACTGATCACAAAACACAGATTTACTTTATTTTGTTTTACTCATCCAACCCCCATAAATCCCTGTGTGTCCCGCAGCACTCCCGAAGGACAACAGGCAAAACAAGACAAAAAAGTCTGACGTGTTGTGTAAAAACTGCTATTTTTAGCATATTTTTAGGGCCGACATGTTGCTACCAGACGTACAGTGTGAGCAGTCAGGTCGCATGCGAGAACTGGGTCATACAGTGTGAGCACATGACTCGTGAGATCGCTCTGCGAGGAAGTCGTACAGTTTGAGCTGAAGCTGAACGCTGCGAGTGAAAAAGTCGCACAGTGTACGCCCGGCTTAAGGCCCTATAGACCAGAACCAGGATCTTGAAATGAACCCTGAAGTTGACTGGCAGCCAGTGAAGCTGGAGGAGAAGCGGGGTGATGTGGGTGTGTTTGGAGGACTTGGTCAGAAGCCGAGCACAGGCATTCTGAACCACCTGTAGACGGTTCAGGGAGGTTCTGCTCAGACACGTGAAAAGAGAGTTACAGTAGTCTAAGCGTGAGGAGATGAAGGTGTGGAGAACTGTCTCAAGTTCAGAGCGAGACAGAATGGGACTCAGCTTAGCAATGTTCCTGAGATGGAAGAAGGAAGAGCGATCAAGAGAACAGACGTGAGAATCCAGGGTGAGAGCTGGGTCAAAGGTCACGCCAAGATTCCTGACAGAAGGTTTGGTGCAGGAAGCAAGCTGACCAAGAGAGTCTCTGGCTTTGGGAACCAGCTTGTCTGGGGCACAGATGAGGATCTCAGTCTTATCTTCATTCAGCTGAAGAAAGCTCCCAGCCATCCAGGTTTTGATAGAGTCTAAGCAGGTGTGTAACAGCTGCAGCTTAGACATCTCATGGGGCTTAAAGGAGATGTACAGTTGGATGTCATCTGCATAAAGATGGTAGGAGATTCCTTTGAAGGAGCTCAGGATGTGATGAAGAGGGAGCAGATAGAGGAGGAAGAGCAGAGGCCCCAGCACAGAACCTTGTGGGACACCATGGATAAGGGAGGTGGTGGAGGACCAAAACTTGGAGACGGCCACAGAAAAGGAACTCTCAGAGAGATAAGAGGAGAACCACTCCAGAGCAGATCCTGATAGGCCTACCCAGTCTCTCAGCCTCTCCAGTAGCAGGTGATGGTCAACGGTGTCAAAGGCTGCAGTCAGGTCCAGCAGGACCAGAACAGAACAGTCCCCTGCATCACTGTGAGTCAGAAGGTCATTAGAGACCCTAAGAAGAGCTGTTTCAGTAGAATGAGCTCTACGAAAACCTGACTGGAAGCTATCATAGATGTTATGTTCATCAAGAGCAGCTGTGAGTTGTTTAGCCACAACCTTTTCCAAGATCTTGGAGATGAACGGAAGTTTCATAATGAAATAATGTTCTATTATAATAGAACAAATAATCTAAATGATCTATTTCACTATAGAATAATCCTAAATGAGGGAAAGACAGAGCTCATTGTGTTTCACCCCAACAGCAGGGCTGTGGGTCATTATGATTGATTGATTGATTGATTGATTGATTGATTGATTGATTGATTGATTGATTGATTGATTTACTTAAATCATGACCTTTAAACAAGTGAAGTCTGCTGGGCTTTAGATTTTCTGGGTGTGTTTGTTCTTGATATTCTTTGGAAATGGGCATATGTAATTTTGTTTAACTTTATTTACATTAAAGTTTCTATTTTGATCTTTTCTTTATTCTAGAGTTGAAATTGCCTGTACATTTGAAGCTTTATTACAGGCCTTGAGATCATTTGTTTCCTTTAGAGATTAGAGATAAATATTCAACAAAAATCTGATGTTATCAGTGTGAAATCTGTAGGGCTAAAAACCAGGTGATCAACACTGTAGCTGTTACTCTAGAGGGCGCTGCAGCTCTGTGTCTGAACAACAGCAGCCTGCACACAAGCTGCTTCACAACAGGAGAAAAAAATAATCCAAAATAGTGAAAATGGTTGTGTGCACATCCACTGGAACCCTCGCGGATGAAGGCATTCATAAACATTAAAATCTTAGATTATCAGCTGCATCGTGAATTGGAAATGACATATTGTTCCTTATAATTTGACCTCTATCTTGGAAAGTGCACATCTAAAGTAAAACAAAGGTACAGGCAGCAGAGAAAACTACACAATTATGTAATTTATTTATGTTTTCTTGCAGCATTTTAGAGAACTTGTCCCAGTTTCTGTGGATTTGCTCAAGTACCGGTACCGTGATTATCCCACAGAGGCTTCAGAAAAGCAGAATGAAGATTAAAATAACCACAGCTCTATTAGAAACCCCTCCTGTGTCAGTACTTCATTTGTGTTTTAGGCTTCTGGACTGAAAAGGAAAGCTTTTAGGGGTAAGCTATGAGCTACGTGACTGTGTTTCCTTTACATCAACAGTGTGATTTGATTTTTCAACAACCTGCAGATCTTTCTCAGATGATTCTGTTTTTGAGTTCTCGCTTTGCAGAACGAAAACTGCCACCGTGTTTCAGACACGGAGCCTGACAGAGAAAATAACGATCAGCACAAACTGCATGAAAATGGGACTGTTTACTCAACTTTGGGAGGAGATTTTTCATGCTAAACTGTGGCTTTGTCACTTGAGTTCAGCAGGACATGTCACTGTTTTCATGCAAATGTTGAAGTTAATGTGAGGACCAATCTGCACCTAAACAACAGACCAACCATTAGGAGCTGAATGGAACATTCCTGTTACCTCCATCTAATCTGCAAAAACAATCATCCTTATGATGCCAAACGACTGTTTGGTTAGAGGCTGAAAGCTCATTACAGTTTCACATTTACATCAGTGCATCTGCACAATGGGCCACCCGTAGAACTTAGATGGTCCATCCACCTAAAAACATGACCAGGACTGGGGCAAAACATTCCTGAAGGAACGACATCGGGTCAAAATTAAAAGCAACAGCTTTTCTGCATTTTGTGTAAAGTTCTCAAACTTTGTAAATAAAAAAAAAATTGTATTTCTTCCGTGAATATACGGCGAGATGGTTGTGATATTAAATTCTAATTTTTGATCTGAAATCATCACAGCTTTGGGCATTTTTTGAGAGAAAGATGAGTTTTACTTTAATCTATTTTAGAAACCAGAATCTAAACTTGCTGCATGATGACATCAGACCCCAGAACTCTAATTTCATGATTTGAACTTTGGTTTGGCTCAGATGCTTCAGGGGAAACCTATATTAATGTCGATGGGAGAAACCTGTAAATGAGACAGAAACCGTTACTGTGGATAAAACGTGACTCCTGAGATTAAAAACAGCTTTAATTACGTTTTTCATTTCCAAATATTATCACTACCAACCTGTAAAAATACAGGAAACGTGTTTTCAACACTTCTGTGGGGGCTGCATTAAATATATGCAACCGAGCTGTGGGCCCTCTGCGCTCTCATTGGCTAATTCAGACTCAGGTTGCTGCTGATTGGCTGTTGAGCGCGAAGCTGCAAAGGAAGGCGAACGGGATTGAAATGATTTCTGAGCTGCTCATCATCCTCAGCCGGAAAACTCACCCAGCTCTACTCACCCTCGCTCCTCCGGAGGAGCAACAAAACTGTCCGTTTCTCTCTTTTTATGGGAATTTCTCCACCTTTTTTTTTCGAAGGACCTCACTTTTAAAGTAAGCGCGTTGGCCTTTTTGTGATTTCTTACAGGATCTGGATCCGCGTGCCTGTCAGTTTTGACATAAATGTGTTTTTTTTCCTGCAGAAAGTGACAACTACATATAAAAGCAACAAAAGATGGTGAGTTTTCTTTGTTTTCTTTTCATGCAGATCACAAACATGGCGCTTTTATGAAGTAAACAATAAAGTGGAGGTCTGAAGGCAACATCTGCCAGCTCTGCAGCAGCAGGATGCTCAAATTCCTGTAGAATGTGTGTTTTTTCTGGCCCCCTACCAACTCCACGAAGCATATGGAGATCATTAACTGTTTAACGCAGCATTTTCATGAGTGGGAATCCAATTTCTCTGCAGTTTACATTTCATTTTTGGCTTAATGCTCTTATTCAGATAATGGGAGGATCACAGATGTGAAGATCTGTTGCTCCTGGAAGTTCCTTCCACAACCATGATCTTCAGAAATGCATATCTTTGAGAACTTAAGTTTTTTTTGCACAGCTTGGGACTTGGTTTAGATTTAAGACAGAAAAAGTGTTGATATTGCACATGATTGTTATAAATGATAGGACATCATTATAACACTTTTTAACATCCTTTGTCACATGATCCTTTCTGGTTGAGTTTAAACCAGCCTCACTCACTGGCTGCTTCGGACCAATCAGCACCAGGAGGAAACTTCCCCCCAAGTGTTGCTGGCCGTAGAGAGGCAGGACCCTGGGAGCTAAATCAGGATCCCCACGTTGTTACTGTTGAAAGCTGATCCCAATTCTGGAACAATCATAAAAGGCGGGCGTTCACCGTCACTTTTGGTGCGGTTGAGTACTTTACCGGACATGTCCCATCATGATGTCTTTGTTCTTTGAGCAGCAGGTCAGCTGGTCTTTAGAGTTACAATAAGATAAAAGACATGATGTCACAGATTGGAGCGCTGGTCCCACAAGCCCGAGCCTGTTCTGGGATTATTAAACCTTTTCTGCAACACTTCTTTATGAAGGTGTTGAAACCTCCAGTAATCTGAGGCTGTCTGTGAAGATACTTGAGGGATGACTCTTCTCTTGTCTCCTCAGCTGTGCCTACGCGACTCTGGTGGCTGCGTACGGGAGCAGATGCAGAACATGATGAGGTCACTGCAGGACCTGAAGCAGCTGAGGAGAACCTGCCCCGACGCCCGGCACCCTCTCGCCCCTGTGAACGCCCAGCTCCCGGCGTTGGCACGCTACTCCGCCGTGGCACGTGCGTGTCAGCAGCGAGCACTGCAGCGGGAACAGCGCGCACGCCTGAGGATGTCCGACGCCAGCTCAGCTAGCACCTACGACTCGGCCTGCTGCCTGAACAGTCCTCTGGAGGAGGAGGAGGAGGACGCCGGCGGTCAGCTGAGCCTCAGGCGAGATTTACGATCTCCCAGCAGCCAGAAGAGTCTGGAGTTCGACTCGGGTTACTCCGAAGCATCCTGGCAGGATGACAGCGTTGTTTTAAGGAGGACGAGGAACGTGCGGGTCTCCTCCTCTGCCTGCCTACGCACAAACAGAGCGCAGAGCGGGCGGATCCGACCCAAATCCACATCTGACGCCTGTCTGGAAAGGTGGACGTCGTTTGAGATCAGCGACCCAGAAGACTGGACAAACTCCCTGTTGACCAGAGGACGCAACCGCCAGCCTCTGGTCCTGGGTGACAACAGCTTCGCTGACCTGATCCAGAACTGGATGGACTTGCCGGATTGTCCCGAGCCCACCGAGCTGAAACCAAGCTCAAGACAAAGACTGGGGAGAGGCTTCCTGGTCAACATGAGGAGGAAGATTTCTGGGTTGTCTAAAAGCGTTGAGGACAGAGTGAAGATGAGGTCCACAGACTCTTGCCTGAACAGAACCGTCAACGCTCCCAAACGCCTGTCCTGTCCCGTCGTTGCATCGCAGCCTAGCGTCCCCTTTTTCCACCAGTCCCACTCAGCCATCGACCAACTGGACACGGACTTCCAACGCTTCACGGCTCTGATGAAGTCAGGCAGCCGGCAGCCGATCATCTGTAAAGAAATCATCGGCTACATCTGACAGAAAGGACTGGAAAACCCTCAGAGTCACTTTATTTTTGCCATTTTTCTCTCTTCTACATGACTGTTAAGTTAATGAAAACAAAGATGTTCTCGTGGTTTAAACTGCATATTTATGTTTCACGTATTTACGTTTCTAGATGTTTTTGCTTGTGACACAACAACACTGATATGTTGGGTCCAGCTCGCATGAAGCTGTGACTCCTCACTGAAGGAATGATTAAAACTCTAAAGCCTAAACCTGGATTCATCTGTTCATTTAGAAGTTTAAACCTATTAAAATAAAAAAAAAAACCTGAAGACTAAAGACATTTTAGTCATCTGGTTAGAATGTCCAAAAGTTCTGTTCCGACTCAAGATGAAGTTGAGTCCTTTAGAGAGGCTTTAAGTGGGGCGAGGAAGCGCTTTGTGGGCCTGAACCTCCGCTCTGTGCCTGGTGAGGTAATCCCTCACGTGTGTGTGTGCGGTTGGAGGTGATGCAGCTGGTTGCAGATGTAGAAGTTTGCTTTGTGAAGCAGAACATCTTGCTAACAGCGCTCTGCCTCATTTACCCCGGTGTATGCTCTTGTTGTGGAACACACATCGGTTAATGGCTTCACTCATTCTGGGCTCACTAAGAACCACCCAACATGCACAGAGATAAGGCAAGGCAGCTTTTATTTATAGAGCACATTTCACACACAGAGGAAATTCAATGTGCTTCACAGTTATCAGGACATGATATGAAAACAACATAAAAACAAGTTAAAATACACAGATAGAATTATAGCTTCGAGCCAAAGGAGAAGACAAAGTTACAGCACAGATTGCAGTAGAGATTATGCAAAATAAGAAACAATGCTTTTAAAAGGCTGATCAATTCATTTGGGTTTTTAGTTTTGATTTTGCTTTGCAGTAGTCCAGCTGACTAGAAATAAAAGCATGAATAAGTTTCTCTAAGTCTGTTCTGGACATGAGACCTCTGACTCTTGGGCAGCAGTAGCTCAACAGGTTGAGCGGGTTGGAAGGTTGCAGGTTCGATCCCGGCTCCGGACAGAGAATTCTGCTGTTGTGTCCTTGGGCAAGACACTTAACCCACCTTGCCTGCTGCTGGTGGTCGGAGGGACCGGTGGCGCCAGTGCTCGGCAGCCTCGCCTCTGTCAGTGCGCCCTAGGGCAGCTGTGGCTACATCGTAGCTCATCACCATCAGTGTGTGAATGTGTGTGTGAATGGATGATTGATACACTGTAGTGTAAAGCGCTATGGAGTCCTTACTCTGAGAGGTGCGGGTCATTTATCATTTGATGAAGGTGATAAAATGCTGATTTAGTTATAGCCTTAATATGTCCAGAGAAGTTCAGGTCTGAGTCAATAATAACGCCAAGATTTCTAACCTGGGTTTCTGTCTTTATTCCCCTTGACTCTAGCTGAGCAATAACATCCATTCTATCCCTCTTGTGGCCAAAGACAATAACTTCAGTCTTGTCTTTGCTTAGTTGAAGGACGTTTGACTGCATCCAGTCGTGTACTTGCTCTAGGCACTGACAGAGTGAGTCCAGTGGACGACATTCACTGCATGATAAGGATAGGTAGATCTGGGTGTCATCAGCGTAGCTATGATAGGCAATGTTGTTATTATGTTTGACCTGACCCAGGGGAAGCATATTTAGATTAAAGAAAAGTGGTCCTAGAATTGAGCCTTGAGGGACCCCACATGTCATGGTGATCCGCTTTGACTGGTAATTCCTAATAGAGACCAAAGCTACTGATCAGCTTTGGTTTCTTTGCAAAAGGAGAGATGAAATGTCTGATCTAAACGTTTCAGTGAAAGAAAAGCTGAATCTTTCCTATAAACTTTAAAGCAAACACATTTTTTACCTTCTCAGAGTTTTCTGTCTCAAGTTTCAGTGGTCAGCAGCTGTCTGACTGCATTCATCAATCACCTGCTCCAACTGAGGCTGATCAATAAAGGTGAAGATGTGAGAAGATAATTCCCAAACAAACCAGCAGCTTGTCGTCTACAGAACCACAGAAACCTTCCATGTTTACCTTTACATTGCATCTAACTACTCTACCTAATTTTTCTTTCTCTCTCATTCCTTCAGTTAGTTCATTTATTTGAACGACGACAGCACAAAGCCAGTGCTACACGTCAGAACAATTCATCTGTTCAACATGCAGGTTTAAACGTGCAGGTCTAATCGACAAACCCAGCTGGGCCTGCAGAGTAAAACCAGTCATCCCATCAAAATAAACAAGGACAGGAACTTTACAATATAACATGTAGGGGGAAGTATTCCCATCTCTGGAGCAATGACACTGACCTACTTAAAATAAAAGTTTGAAAGAGAAAACTGTTCAAGTTTTCCACATATGTGCAGTGGTCTCTAATATGATGTTCATTCACTGTGCTGATTGAAATCACCCGGTTTAGTTGCAGCACTGAAGAAAAACACGGCATGGATGACTTGTTGATGCCACAATTCCTCATCTCCGGTTTGAATAACAAACAATGAAATCCAAAGACATGCCAAACATGTTATGAGCTTGTCGTGTCCAACTCTCAGCAGCCACATATGATCAGCTGGACACCAGCCTCCAAGTGGTGTCCCATACCCCCGCCACCCACCTCAAGTTCATCATTCATCTTTTCTCTGTTCTAGAGCTCCCGATGATTTGGTCCCAACCTATCAGTTCCAAAGTCCTTCTTCAAGCCCGTCATGTCTCCCCCCAACAGGCTCTAGCGCTCATCCACTAGCCAGTGGCTAATGGTGCATTCGATTTACCTCAGAAGTCAGAACTCAGAACTGGGAACGATGAAGTCTAATATAGTGACTCACCTCCCAAGTAGCCATTGATTTTAGATGCTTAATAACATAGTTTTAAGCTACGTTCAACATGCAAACAAAACTTTTAGTATGTTCAGCTTAGAGTTTTAATCACTACATTAAACACACTCTTATGAGTGTGTTTTGTAAAATAAACACATTTCACTCAAAACTTACTGTTGTTGATATGGAGAGCCATTTTAAATGTTGAGGTCAGATCTTTGAAATTCCCCAGTGTTTCGGACTTGACTGGGAAGTCCGACTTTTTTTTTGGGGGGGGGGGGGGGGGGGGGGCGCTTTGTTTGATTTTTTCTACTCGGAGGTCGGGAGTTCCGAGGACAAATGGAACGCACCACCAGCTAGCATCATTTACTTCACCTCCACAGCGTGTTCCCGGCTCACGCCAGCTTTTCACCGCTAGCCGGTGGCTAACAGGTAGCTAGTGTTCCTGGCTCCTTCTCCACAGTGTCTCCCCGGCTTGCAGCAGCGTTCTTCCGTTAGCTGGTTGCTAAGCAGCAGCCATCTTGTTACTCTGCCGCTGTGAGTAAATTAACAGTTGTGAGACTTAAAGAAGGTCATCTTCATAACTGAATTTAACTCTGGTGAGTGTAAAATTGACTCTGAGTATGCAACACTGAGATCAGTGTAACCTTTACACAGTGCAGGGCGGGACCGTATGTTCACTGGCTCAGTGTTGAAATGGACTCCTTAAGCGTTAGATTAACACTGCTCATTTCACTGTGAAGGTGGCTATGGCAGTCATAGGCTAGAGAGAGGAACCAGTGGTGCCTCTTTCTCATTGGCCCGGTGGTATGAGTGTCTGACCTGGGACCAGGAGATTAGGGATCAAATCTGGTCGGGTCTTACCAAAAACTTAAATGACAGGACCCGATGCCTCCTTGCTTGACACTCAGCTTTAAGGGTTTGGATTGGGGAGTTAAACCCCCAAATAGTTTCCGAGCACAGCCACAACTGCAGCTCAGGGATGGGTCAAATGCAGAGTTATAATTTCACCAGTGTGTGACGATGGCGGTGGTGGGGGTTTCCGCCCTCCCTGGGTGCCCTGGGTTGGTGCCGTGGATCAACTACTGCCGAGGCAGATGGCTCACCTGATGGCGCGTAATTCATAACCCATCTGAACTCAGCCTAGTGTTTACTTATGCTGTTGTTTTTTAGGTTGTGAGTGTGTGTGTGTGTGTGTGGGGGGGGGGGGGGGGGGGTGCCTGGCAAATGAGTTGTGGGATAAGGGGTGTAACTGTCAGTAGTGACTCCGTTTACATGCAGCCAATATCCGGGTTATGATCGGGTTAAGGTCGGTATTCGGGTTTCTGAGTTGATCAGAGTAACTCGTTTACAAGCATAAATAGAAAGAGTTACCCCTAACTTGCATAACCCAATTTAAATGCGGACGTTGGGGTAGCGTCAAGACGTATGGACTACGTCCAGACGCAACATGCCTCATTTCCGGTTCTTCTTGTTCCGGTATCCGTGAAAACAACAACATTTTTCCCAGTTCGGAAGAGATAGCGACCGCGTTTGTTTGCGCTTTAGTTTCTTTGTCACTCCAAAAGTGTGGTGCTGTGCCGCGACTCGCCATTTTGCTCCCAACTTGTTGTTTACTTCCGGTGTTCTGGCGCATACAAGACGTCTCGCTACTCAAAAGACCAAGATTCCTTGCGAACAGAGCATGCGCAGAACACACGCTTTGATGGGGATATCCCCGTATGTGTTTACACGACCAAGCATTCGGGTTAGAAAGGGTTACCCCAGGTGTAGTAACCGGGTTTTTAAAAACCCGGTTATGAGCATATCCGGGTTTTTGGCGGTGTTTACATGGACCTGCGGAACCGGGTTATTGTGAACATTCGGGTTTTAAAAGGGTTACTGGCTGCATGTAAACGCACTCATTGTTTTGTGGGGAAGGCAGGGGAAAAGGGGGTTATATCGGGTCATTTTAAGCTGTAAAGCACTTTGAGCTGCATATTCTTTTAAATGAAAAGTGCTAAACAAATCACATTTGATTGATTGATTTATGATTAACAGGACTTTAACTTTGATTATACTATCAAGCTCATGCTATTAATAAAGAATGGACCTAATCGCTGGAGTGAAAGCTGGAGGTTGTTGACATGCTGCCTTTTTGATGCAATACTTAGTCTGAACACGGTGCTAGAGACTCAGTTTTTTTTAACACACAGGGCACACATTTTACACACTGTGAGGTGGATTTCCTCCTGCTCACTTTGCCAACCCGGTTTAAACTCTTTCTCATCTATCAGAGCCACCATTTTACCTTTATTTGAACTCAGATCTGTTGTCGTTAATCAGGTCATCAGGTGAACTAAAAGGTATGTGTCAACTAGGTTGCGGCTAATTTAAAATGTAAATGATATTAAAGGTGAATGCTTTCACGGCTGCCTTTGTTCATCTTTT